CGGCGGCGGCGGCGGCGGCGCGCACTGACGGGCTTCTCTGTTGCAGGATCCTGCTGACCGTGGTGGTGATCTTCAGGATCCTCATCGTGGCCATTGTAGGGGAGACGGTGTACGACGACGAGCAAACCATGTTCGTCTGTAACACGCTGCAGCCGGGCTGCAACCAGGCTTGTTACGACCAGGCTTTCCCTATTTCTCACATAAGGTACTGGGTGTTCCAGATCATCATGGTGTGCACTCCCAGCCTTTGCTTCATAACGTACTCCGTTCACCAGTCTGCTAAGCAGAGGGAACGGAGGTACTCCACTGTCTTCCTCACCCTGGAGAGGGACCAGGATTCAATGAAGCGTGAGGACAGTAAGAAAATCAAGAACACGATTGTCAACGGGGTGCTGCAGAACACTGAGAACTCCACCAAAGAGGCAGAACCAGACTGCTTAGAAGTGAAGGAAATCCCCAATCCTGCTATCAGAACTACAAAGTCAAAGATGAGGAGGCAAGAAGGCATTTCTCGGTTTTATATCATCCAAGTGGTCTTTCGAAATGCCCTAGAGATTGGATTCTTAGTGGGACAGTATTTTCTGTATGGATTCAATGTCCCTTCCATGTACGAATGTGACAGATACCCTTGCATTAAAGAAGTAGAGTGCTATGTCTCTAGACCCACTGAGAAGACTGTGTTCTTGGTATTCATGTTTGCTGTCAGTGGGATTTGCGTGGTGCTCAATTTGGCAGAACTGAACCACTTGGGCTGGAGAAAGATCAAAATGGCAGTGAGAGGAGTACAGGCAAAAAGGAAATCCATATACGAAATCAGAAATAAGGACCTGCCAAGAATGAGCATGCCTAACTTTGGCAGGACTCAGTCGAGTGACTCAGCTTATGTGTGAGGCTGTGACTGAACTGAAACACTCTGCCAGGTGGAACAGACCCAGATACCATTAGAGAAAGGTACATTGCTTAGGCAAGCATTTTATCAAACCACCAAGAAAGCCATTAAGGTATTGGACCTGCACTTACTGAACTAGCTGCAAAACGCAGTGCTATGTAGAAGACTGAAAAACCAGCTAAAAACCATGCTTGATCTAGCCTTACAGCACAGCTACTATTATTCCTACTTTTCTTTCTAACAATTGGGTGTTACCTGTCGGTGGAGCGGCTTTTTGGTCATCATTAGGATAAGTTTACAGTTTGGACTGTCTGACTAACTGTTGTAAACGTGTAGAATGTTCATATTCAAAATCTGCAAGGATACTCTATATGGGGTGGGATGGGGTGGGGGAAACTGTTGCAATGTGCAGATGTAAGCATGTTTTAAAAGGAGGGTAATTGCACTGTAAGGAACCTGACCACAGCTCAATCAGGATATCTGCGTTCACCTATCTCACAGATGTCTTATATTATTTTGCTTGTCTAAATCACAGAGTTTATTCCTGGTGTGTATTGCTAGCCATCTTCTATCATAGTTTGTGCATCAATTAGTTATGCTAAACAATAAATGCTGAATATAATTTTGCCATTTTTTTTTGTTTGCCTGTCCACACACACACACACACACACCAGAGACCTTAATCATCTTACATTAGTTGTGATCTGCAAAATAGATCAGTACATTTCAGTTCATTCCCTAATATGTGCATGAATAAGATGGAGTTGGTTCATGCCAGCCAAGTTATGTATTTACCTACAATCACCTATGATGACACACATACCAAAGGAACAGAGTTCATTGCTTTTAACTGTGAATATATCACCTTCTCTCTGCTCTTATTTATATAAGTGCCATACTTGAAACATCTAACTCTGTACTTAGTCAAAAGGTTGTCTTGGGATACCAGCTGGAATAAAGTGATTTTATACTCTCCTTTGTTTGTTTTATGCTATTTGTTTAGTCATTGCAATGGTGTAAAAAGCAGCTAAAATCTCTATTGATAAATAAAGTACTTGCCTTTTTTTGTAAGCCAGAGAGATTTGTTCTTCTTTATTATTGTACACAATTGTAGAAACCTACAGGGTCAAAATAATTGACTTACAACAATTATTCTTCAGGGTTTAAAGGGTCTTGTTGATATTCTAAACTCTAAGTGACAAAACGTGGGCAATCAGGACTATTCGTTCTGTCTGTTTTCCTCCTTAAGCAAGCTTTCTCTGTCTTTAAAGCCTGATCCAAAGCCCACTGACACCAAAAGCCTTCTTTCTGCTGACACTAAGGGCAACGCAGTTGGCCGCCAAGGTCACTCTGGGAATTGCCGGAATACATTTACCTATAAATGAAACAATAGCAGCTTTTCATCAGGGAATCCGAATAGTAACCTCAGCTTTTCTGCCTTACAGCTAGTTCAAGAAATACACCGTTCATGTCCCGTCAACTTACTGGTAAGCCACTGGGGCAGTCACAAATAAACCTCTGTTAACAGGAACCATTTTTATATAGGATACTATGTTTTAGTTAGGGACCTTTTTTTTATTCCCACTAGAATTCCACAGAAAATATCCCACTGGCAACAGTAGGAGTTGGATCAGGACTGAAAAACTATACAAGTGCATTCCTAACTAAATAGTATCTGCCCTTTAAAGAAAAGGGCCAAAATGGTGCTGCAAAATTTGGGGATACTTGTAAGAAGGAGACAGGGGCTCAGAGTCACAAACGGCCTTTTGATTATATTTTATTTCAAGCCTGAAAATGGATTTTATTGTATTTTGGCTTGGAGATAACACATATCAGTCTTTTCCTCTTGGCTTACAGTAAATACCTTAACGTTCCAGTCTTGAGGTTTGCCAGCATTGTCACTTAAAAAAATGTCGATTAATTCTTAGATAGTCTATTCATTATCACTTTCATCTGTGGTCTTTTTTCTTCCACTGTGAAACATAAAAGGACTTTAAGATGTGTCATGTTTTTAAAGATTTTAAAAATATTTTTCCTTATGTATAAAATGAATAGTTTTTCCAATTTGATAATAGAAACCTATGAAGATGGATTTCTCAAATGATTCCTTGCGATATAAATGCACACTGATATCGCTAGTTGACTGCATGCTCACTGGAAAACTGCATGTTATTTTTAGAAGGACAACATGGCAGCTAAAATCTCCATCTGCAATATAACAAGCTTCTGAAGATGATTATTTGACACACAAATCCAAGTCTGATTTTCATTTTGCAGAGCTCTGGGATGGTTTTCAAAATCTCCTTTTGAATGGATATTGAAAAGAAAAATGTTGTCTGACAGTCGTAAGCATTGCTTTAATGTTGAAGAAAAGGGAGATTGTGTGCAAAGGGCTTGATCCAGTGCCAATTAAAGTTGAAGGAAAAAAACTCATACTGAATTCACTGGGCTTTGGTTCAGGTTCAGCATAATTTCCTGTTAGGCAGAAGCCCTAATGCAAGTTATTTCCAGTGGCTGCATAGCAGTGTTCGGTCAAACTCTACTGAAGGTGCATGTCTTGAAAGCTGTAAGGTTTTAATACCTTAAAATTCTTTAGGTAAGACCAAGGAAGTATCTGTTTATAATAGTCAATGCCAGTGACTCAGTTCATTCAATTATTTTTATGCAGTTGCACATTTTGTACTCCAGTAAGTTGGGATTCTTCAGAATTTTCCTAAGAGAAATATATCAGGAAATGCGAATGTTAATTTATGCAACACGATCAGTGGTAAAGCAGGCAAAGACTCATATTTTGATCAATGGAAATGCCGTCCTCCATATTTACACTAAATAGAATATGGCTTTTCGTATTTCAGAAGAGAAATGAAATTATGTCGAGAGATCAGTTGTTCTAATCTTCCTTTTCAATTGTTATTTTTCATTTCTTACCAACTAACCATTTGTCACGGATGAGAGAAATACTGAAAACACTTTTTTTGTCAATGTATCATGTGAGAGTCATATGATTAATGCTAATGGACTGTTTGCATGAAAGCTGACAATTCATTTACAGAATAAACGCTTTAAAATTGTCACAGCAATGGAAAAGTGTGTTAACTGAACAGAACTGAGTGAACAAGAAGCTGAAGGGCACATTACTGGACACTTAGGTCTTGCTCCTGCCTCAGTAAAATAAATTAGTCTTGCCACTGACGTCTATGGAAGAATCAGGCATTAAATATGAAAATTGAGTTCATGTTTGTTTTATTCATTGTATACCCTGTTTTGTAGTGATGGACAACATTGTATGTCATCATACGTGCAAACATAAAAATCATGTTCACTAAGCTCTTATGGAAAACTGCAATAGATTTTAATACACTATTGGTTCCATGGAATTTTAAAATTTACATAAAATAATGATATTATTTCATTTTTACATAGGCTCGATCTTGTGCTTCTTGAACCTGTGTGAATTTCAAAAACTATTTACGTAGGGGTTTTGAACCATTTCACTGGGTATATGTAAGTCTCGTTGAGAGTCTATAAAAAGATTTTTAAAAAAATAGGATTTTTTTTTTAAATAATAAAAACTAGATACATTTTTACATGGGAAAGCTGAATTGACAGCTCCCCTAAATAGTTTGGTTTTAGAGACCATTGACTTTGAAGAAATATAAGGGTTTTCATCTTTCTTAAGGAAAATCTGAAGAACAAAGATAATCAAGTGAGTTGAATGAATCAGAGAAGTGGTGAGATGGATTTTAGTTTGTTTTACGCCAGAGAAGTCAGAAACACTCAGAAACTCCCAAGCCAGCTCAGTGCTTGTCCTGCATTATGTCTAATAGGATAGGACATAGCTGCTGCTGTGTAGAACCATAGGAAAAGATGTACATGAAATGTTAAGGTTAAATGTGAGGAAGAATTCTCTTAATCCACATCTAAAAGAATATATTTCTTGTAGGGCAAGAGAATGGACCAGGCGGACATGGTCCCTGCATCCTTCCAGCTTTATTTTGTTTGAATATAAATGGTCTGCCTTACTCCTTCAGTGAAACAGGTTAGAGGCTTTTGTTTGGTGTACAAGTGTAGAAATGGGAATAAAAAACCTGAGACATATGAGGAGGAAACAGGCATAGGTTTTCCTCATTTCAGGTCTGGTCTTGTTCTTCATGAATTCAGTGATGGGACTTTGTCTTCTGTGGGACCAAGTTAACTCCCAGCTGGGGGAAAAACTCCGTTCCATTATTTAGTGAGATTAACAGGAGAGATTACACTATTTCTGTTTTGCACACCCATCCCTTGACATTGTGGGATACTTTTCCCAGAAATTCTGTTTTATTGTAAGCTTTCAGAAACCATTCGATGTTACTATCAGCTACTAATACCAGATTCTAACCCCTCACCGTCCTCTCAGTGAAACTCTGATAGTATGTCTGTAAAGAAAAATTGCACTAGGAAGTGCTTCATATTATGTCTATTAAAATGTACTAAAGAAGTCAATCAGGAGCCAGCAGCCTGTGAAATAAGTGCAGATATGAAGAATTCCATAGCACCACATTGATAATAATCCATACATATACAAGTGTATATATATATATATTTAAAAAAAATTACCTAGTTTATATTACTGTGTTACAGATTGAATTTCAGAGATGGACACAGAAGAAGTCACATACCCAGAGATGGTTAAAAACTGTGCAAGTAATGCACAGGCATATATCCTTACAACCAAGTGCAATGACCCGACTGGATATTTAACATGCAAAAAACCCCAACAATCACCTGTTTCCTGTGAAATTCTGGGGCTATGGGCTATACTAATTGCTTTAGCAAGTTTAACTGAGCAGCTGGGTATGTAAGTTATAGCTAAAGAGGCTTGCCTTCATTGCATTAAAATCTATCAGCTTTTTCCTAGTGATGACTGAAATACAGAATGAATCAGACCTCTAGCTTGTGGATACCCGCATATACAGCGAGTCTCTGATGTCCCCCCAAAGTGAGAATCTATCTTGTATTCAACAGAATGTGAAAGTAAGGTAATTTTCTACTAATCCACCTGGCTTTGTGTATGTGGTGTGGCTTGAAGGGACAGAGGAAGGTTACCAGTATCTGGAGAATAATTAATACATCCTAAAGTGAATAAGCAATTCTGGACTTTTAGTTTCTTTTACTGAAAACA